TACAAAATACTAGAAATTACCCACACGAGTAAAATTTTCTAGTACATTTGCTCAATTTGGAAAAGTGAATTAAATTTTGAATAAATTAAGAGACAAATAAAAGGATAGAATTAAAGAATTATGTTTAGTTAGTAGTTATACAATATTATTTACTGAAAATTTCTTTGAAAAGTAAAATTTATAAAATACCTGCTTCAATATTTTACTTGCAAGCATGATGAAATACGCGATTTTCGGGTCAAATACCTGCAAGCGGCAACCCTGCATTTAGTTGAAATGTGACGGCCATAGGCGCATGCGCACGAGTGGCCGCGTATTTGGTTTTGCAATTATTATATATAATTATTATTACCTATATGTATATTAAATATTAATAACTGATATTAATTAAAAAATGTACTTTTTTATTTTCCGTTTAATATTTAATAAAAATCTTTAATTAATATTCCTTTAATGTTATGTTTTCTTTTTCTTATTTCGAATTCGGTCTTCAAATTTATTTTGATAGGGTAGGTATACCTTCCCTATCAAACAGAGGTATAGCTAACCTATCAAAATAAATTTGAAGATCTTTAATTAAACGTGCTAACAGATCTGTATAAAATCTTGGAGATTCACGGCGTGCGTCCGGTGTGAATTAAATGTGCATAAGAAATACTAGGGGGCATCCATTAATTACGTGAGGTGTTTAGGGGGGGAGGGGGGTCGAGCCAAACCCCACCCAATCTCACGTGGGGGGAGGGTAGTCTCGGCAAATATCACGTAATTTTTGAAAAAATGAAACAGTGTAAAATGGCGAAAAAACTGGGTTAAATTAAGTAAACAATTATAACAATTGTTTTTTTTAATAAATCTAATGGAATCAATCACAGATTAACTTATTTACATTAAAACAATGCATTTTAAAATATCTCACGTGAGATTAAGGGAGGGGGGACGGGGTCGGGCAAAATCTCACGACATCTCACCAAGGAGAGGGGGGAAATCGCCAAAATTGCCTAATTAATGTATGACCCCTTATCTGTGAACTTACGGTGAATTCACGATGCACTTAATTTTAAAGATTCATGGCGTGCGCCCGGTGTGAATTTAATGTGCATTGCGAATGTAATTTGGAAACTCACAGTGGATTCACGATTAATTAATTTTTAAAGATTCACGGCGTGCGCCCGGTAGGAGTTTAATGTGCATTCAGGAATGTAATTTGGAAACTCACAGTGGATTCACAATGCATTCATTTTTAAAGATTCAGGGCGTGCGCCCGGCATGAATTATATGTGCATTAAGAATATTATCTGGGAACTCACAGTGAATTCACGATGAATTCATTTTTAAAGATTCACGGCGTGCGCCCTATGTGAATTAAATGTGCATTACAAATGTTATCTGTGAACTCACGGTGAATTCACGATGCATTCAATTTTGAAGATTCACGGCGTGCGCCCGGTGTGAGTTTAATGTGCATTCACGAATGTTATCTGGGTAACGGTTAATTCGAATTTGAAGTCATTGTAAAATTCGTTGGTTAATTGGAACCAGACGCTCCCATATCGGTACAGCTGCTGATATTTAGTGCTGGAAGACGCCGCGGTATTTAGGCAATCTGGGCGGTCAAAAATCGATTTTTAAAAAGCAAATTCGAGTAGAAATCAAATTATTCCTCGAAAGAATGATCATAAGAGAACAATAATCTACTATTATTACTAGGGTTGCCACCTGTCCTCCTTTGTGGAGGACAGTCCTCTTTTGATAAGATCACGTCCTTCGTCCTCCTTTAAATAAAATATGTCCTCCTTTCTCTGTATTTTATTGTGCTCTGACAAAAACATTTTTCTCGGTAAACCAATAAAATAACAGGCTTGCAAACAATAAAAAATGATATTGGCCGGTATCTGTATACTGGGTTGCCTAGTGCTTTTTAAAATGCGTTATGAATATTTACTGGGAAATTCCCAGTGGGAATGTTCTTAAATGGTGCTTGGAAGTTTTAGAGGATCATTCTATGGAATATTCCCAATAAATATTCCTAGAATGAAGCGGATTATTCCTAGATTAAAGGGCATATTCCTGGAATATTTTCGCACCTTCATTGCAGTCTGGGTTATTTACCAACCCTAATTATTTCCGTCCCACACCTGTAAACATACCTTTACGGTCAGTCTAAACTTTTTTGACATTTGAAGTGCAATTGTTGTTTGCGGCGTCGTTACTTCAATATTTATTTGTTTTACAAGTGTTGAAAAGTGGCTTTTTCATGCGAGTGTTTTAGCTGCTCACAAGGCCGTTAGGCCGAGTGTGCATTAACACGAGCTTGAAGAAAGCTTTTCTCATAAGTGAAACACAATGTTTTTTCTACGACCCTTTTATTTTTTATTATTTTCAAATACAAAAAACAATAACCTAAAAAGTGTTTGACACACCTGTCACTTTTCACACAGACCTGTCACTTTTCACACAGAAATGTCACTTTACATTCGTGTTGTGCCTTGCCAATGAAAAGATTCATTTTATAAGCAACGATGCGATTACGAAATGTGACTTTTACATATTGGTTGTAGGGTGATAGTTTTGTTTTGTGTTTTAATTTTAAGTGTATTGTTTTGGATTATACGATGGCAGGTAAGTGAGCATACTTTTCAGATATTTTTATTAAGATTAGTTTCTATTATGAGCCTTATATGTGAAATTTAAAATAGCTTGTTATTGCTTTTGGTTTGGCTTATAATTTTAAAAAAGACCAAATTAGTTGTACCTCCCGGAGTTTCCCGGCAAAATAAAAACTTTTATCATATACCTATCATGATTATTCATGTTTACGACTTCGCTTAAGACTGCCACGGAATCACTTTTTTGGAAATTAGAGTGTCCAAACTGTAAAGGTTCGATATGACAATTATTTAGCAAATCTTGATTTATGTTTCTAATGATTTTTTATTTCTCTTAGGTCAAACGTCAAATTTTTTACTCGAATTAAGCTTTTCAACATGATGCAGCAACAAAATTTTCCCACAATTAATGAGAAACTTGATTTCATGTAAAATTTCCTTATTGGTTATGACGATTACACTGTTGACGAAATAAAGGAAATCAAGCATAATTTTTCACGTTTCAAGACTGAAATAAAATTTCGATGGGCTGCAGCATACAATAAAGAGGAAACTTTTACTAAAAAGAATAAATATTTGTTTGAAAGGTGAATTTACAATTTTGAAAGTAACTATAGTATAGTGGTAGTATAGTAGTAGTATAGTAGACTATAGTCGACCGGGGCGGCCTAAGAAATTATTTCAAGAATTAAGTGATAGATCAAAAAGAAGAAAAACTGAAGAACTAAGAAACAGTGTAGATGTGGACGTCATTTTCTATGATCTTTTGAATATAGCTGGTATAAATGCCCTTTGCGTTTATAAAGAAAACCATCCCCAAGAAAAACTATCTAGAAGCGAATTTATTGAGAAGTTTGCCCGGAAATTGATCAGGCTACAGATAGAAGTAAGATCAAGTATTGTCTCTTTACCGGTGGAGCTGAAAAGATCTTTTCAGCTTTTCGTCGAGGAGCGCGTACTCTTCTTGGATTGGGATTGGTTTTAGCCCCCCTTCTCATTCTGCATGAACGTCAAAATTATGTTGGCCGATGCCATATTTGCCCAAGACATCGTGACAAGTCCACAAGAAATGCTTGTGCAAAATGTGGCCATCACGCATGCAAAGAACACATGGAAAATTTGTCTATTACCTGCTTGGCCGAGTAAAAATATTGTTATTTTCATACCCATTTCTAAGGGTACAGTTGTATTCATTAAAAAAGCGTACAAGAATTAGAATGAGAGAAAACTGTCAACATTATTTCGTAAAACTGGCTTTCCACTGACTTAAGTCACTATAACTGACAGTAGAAAATAAAAATGCCTCAAGTTAAAAAGGCTCAAATAGTATCAACAATCAAAGAAGAATAGTCAATTCGTGATGTGGCGAAGTTGTATAATAGAAATAAAAAATCTATATTAAAAATTAAGCAACGCTGCAGCGCGCTGGGAACAGGAAGATTTACTAAACCAAAAAGTTACTTCAGGTCGTCCCAAAATGTCCACCCCTGAACAGGATGCTGCTTTTTTGGAATATTTAAGAAATAATTCATATGCAGTCCATCCCAAATAAATTGGCTCAAGTAATAGAAAAACAGGGATACATAGCTAAATATAAAAAAAAATTAATGTTTGTTTTTTTTCATTTCTAATGGGTAATAATTTTTGTAATATTATTTAATTAACCTACGACGTCAATGCTCTTTATAACCTATAGTAATTATTTTAATGACTTATGTCAGTGATAAGCTGGTTTTAAGCAATCATATTATTGTGACAGTTTTCTCTCATTCTAATTCTTGTACGCTTTTTTGTTGAATACAACTGTACAACCAAGTGGAAAAAAATTTGCTACATGTTTTAAACAATTAACAATTGTTAAGTTTTAGACTCACAAAATTGTTGTTGTTTTAAACAAACACGTGATATTTAAAGTATAAAAATGTAAATATTTGGTTTTTCACTTCCTATAAAATATAAAATATATCTTTGTAAATAGAGAGAGAGAGGTGTATTGAAACATTGTTCCGTAATAAAAACCCTTATTTGGGAGATTACGAACAGATATATCATAAAAGAAAAGTTTATCCTACAACTAAACCAGTGAGTAAATAAACAATATAACAAACAACATATTAATATTATCAGTAACAATTTAAATTGTAAAATAAAGACGCACAAAGATAGGTTATATGCCTCCGAAACGTCGAGTTGGGCACCTGACCTTGCGCTACGAGCGTTTGTAAACAAAAGACAGGACCGTACTTAAATAATAACGCAAACAATAAACAGAAGGGCGTTAAAAGAGATAAACTTGAACACGAGAACTCATTTGAAGAAGGCGAGGTCTTTAAGAGCACCAAAATAACGCCAAGAACACCACCAAGAATAAAAGGAGAAAATAAAGAAATTAAAATGGAAGAAATAACAAAAATGTTCGAATCTTTGCCAGTTAAAATGAGTAATATACAAACAGATTTGCAGGAAATTAAAAATGGAATGCAATTACAAAGAGAAGAAATAATATCGATAAAAGAGGACATTAGTAATAACAAGCTAGAATGGAAAAGGGAAGAAGAAGAAGAATTAGTCGAAAAAATAATGGAAACCGAAGAAAGACTAGAGAGATTGGAGAAAGAAAAGATACGCAATAACATAGTTATAACAGGAATTAAAATAGATCTTATGAATAAAAGAGAAATAATAAAAGAACTTGAAACTTCCGTAGAAAAAGAAATAGGAATAAAAGTGCAATTTAATAAAGCGATAAAACTAAAAGAAGACTCTTACATAGTAGAATTGAGAAACTGGGAAGATAAAGTAGAAGTAATGAAAAAAAAAAGAATATTCTTAAGGGAAGTACTATTTACATAGAAGGAGAATTGACCAAAACAGAAAGAGAAATACAAAAAAAACTAAGAGACATAGCAAAAGAAAAAAGATCTAACGGAGACAAAGTAAAAGTTATGTTCCAAAAACTTGAAATAAATGGAATAATCTGGAAATGGAATAAGAAAGAAAACACTAGAGAGAACACCCCAAACAAAACTAATGAAAAAACCGACAATCCTCCAAAAAACTATTAAACAAGAATAAAAAATCGGACGGTATCAAAAGAGACGAAATGGGCAAAGAAAAGGAAAAACGAAAAGATAAAGAAACAAAAAAAGAAACAAGAAAAAACTGGAAAATTGGGACATGGAACATTAAAAGTATACAAGGTAAAGAAAATGAATTAGAAGAAGAGTTTGAAGAGCTAGGTCTTGACATTTTGGTGATAACAGAAACTAAGAAAAAGGGACAAGGGATAACAAAGTTACACAACAATAATATATTAATTTTTAGCGGAGTAAAACTAAACGAAAGAGCAGCTGCTAGAGTCGGGTGTATAATATACAAGGAATTAGAGGAGGAAATAGAGGAATGGCAGGCTTGGTCGGAAAGAATACTTACAGTTGCAATAAAGAACAAAAAGAAAAACATACTAAAAACAATCATTATAGTCTATGGCCCCAATGAGAATGATACAAAAGACATAAAAGACAAATTTTGGGAAAAATTATCACTAGCAACAGAAGGATCTAGGGGAGAATTGTATATAGCAGGAGATTTTAATAGCAGAGTAGGAAAAAAAGATAAAACATACAATACAGTGATAGGTGATTATGGAGAAAATACAAGAAACAACAATGGTAAAAGAATGCTAGACTTTTGTATATTCCATAACTTAATTATAACAAACACATTTTTTGAACGCAAAAACATACATAAATATACAAGAGAAGTTAAAAGTAGGGACGAAAAGTCAATTATAGATTTCATACTAATTGAAAGAGCAAACAGAAAAATGGTGCTAGATACAAGAGTTAGAAGAGGACCAGAAATTGGTAGTGACCATTTTTTAGTGGTGTCAAAAAATATACAGAAATCAAAGAAAATAAAATAAGGAAAGCGGAAAATGAAACAATAAGGTACCAAAAACTAAGAAATAAAGAAATAGCACTAAAATTTGAAGCAGTACTAAATAAAAACTTTGAGAACTATAAGGAAAATACAGAAAATATGAATATTGACCAGATATGGACATACTTTAAAAACATAGTAATCAAAACAGCGAAAAAAGTATGTAGTGTGAGTAAACAGAATGGAGAAAAGAAAAGATCTGCGTGGTGGACTGAAGAAATTAAAAAACAAATCAAAGTAAAAACACAACATGGAAAAATTACCTAGTAAAAAAAAACAGCAGAGAGTTATGAGACATACAATAAGGAAAGGAAAAAAGTAAAAGAAATGGTATTAAAGGCGAAAGAAAAATCATGGATAGAATTTGGAGAAAAATTAGAAAAGAATTGTAAAGAAAACCAAAAACTATTTTACAACGCACTAAAAACAATGAGAAATAAAAAAGAGGTGCAAGTAAGTAGAATCATGAATAAAAGTGGAGAAATACTAACAGATGAAACACAGATTATGGATCGATGGAGAGAATACTTTCAAGAACTGTTGGGAACGGGACAAGGAGCTAAAAATGAAAACAACGTAGAAAACAATCAAGGAACAAATATAGAACTAGAACAAATAGAAAAAATATCAATAAAAGAATTAAAAGAAATAATAAAATCACTAAAAAATTAAAAAACACCAGGACACGACAAAATAACCTCAGAGATGCTAAAGAACTTGGGACAAAAAGGAACCGAAATATTATTAGACATATACAACAAAGTATGGAAAAAAGAAAAACTACCGAAAGACTGGGAAATGGCATTAATTCTACCCATACACAAAAAGGGTGACAAAAAAGATTGCAACAACTACCGAGGCATAACAATACTAAGTACAGCTATGAAGTTATTTGAACAATTGATAGACACAAAAATTAGACCAATAATTGATAGCACACTGGAAGAATCGCAAAGTGGGTTCAGAAAGGGAAGAAGTATACAAGACCACATATTTACAATAAAACAATTAACACAGAAAATAATACAACAGGAAAATAAACTATATTTGGGATTTATAGATATGGAAAAAGCATTCGACAGGGTACCAAGGAAAGCACTATGGAAAATACTAATAGAAAGAGGAATAAAGGAAAAGACTATACGAATGATCAAAGCAATATACAATAATAATAATAACGTAGTGATTAACAATAATAGAATGTCGAAAGTCTTTAAAACGCAAGACGGACTAAGGCAAGGGGGTGGGTTAAGTCCATTATTATTTATAATCTTTATGGATGAGATAATAAAAAAATGTAACCTAAAAAAAAAAAGTTCTGGTAGGACACAAAAACCTACAAAGGATTGAAATATCAGAGGGAGCGTTTGCAGATGACATAGTAATTATGGCAAAAAACCGAGACGATCTACAGACAAATATAAATATATGGAATAAAACCTTACAAGATTACGACATGAAGATGAATATAAACAAAACAAAAGTGATGGTAATAGGTGAAGGACAAAATTATTATTTATAATCTTTATGGATGAGATAATAAAAAAATGTAACCTAAAAAAAAAAAGTTCTGGTAGGACACAAAAACCTACAAAGGATTGAAATATCAGAGGGAGCGTTTGCAGATGACATAGTAATTATGGCAAAAAACCGAGACGATCTACAGACAAATATAAATATATGGAATAAAACCTTACAAGATTACGACATGAAGATGAATATAAACAAAACAAAAGTGATGGTAATAGGTGAAGGACAAAAGGAAGAATTAAACATAATAATTAACGAGACAAAAATAGAACAAGTTCAATGTTTCCAATATCTAGGGGTAGAGTTAGAACATATTGGAGGACAAGAAGCAGAAATAAATAAAAGAATAGGAAAAGCAATAAACTTATACTTACGCTATGAAAAAGAAATTTATAAAGAAGAAAGAAATAACAAAGAAAACCAAACTAAATGTTTTTAAAACAGTATTTAGACCGATATTAACGTTTGGCTGCGAATCATGGGTACTAAATAAAGCACAAGAATCCAAAATAGGTGCAATAGAAATTAAGTTTCTTAGAGATATTAAAAGAGTCACAAGAATGGACAGAATCAGAAATACAGTCATAAGAGAAGAACTTGAAATTGAAGCCACTATAGAATTTATAAAAAAGAGACAACTTAGCTGGTGGGGACATCTACAGCGATTAAACAACAAAAGACAAGTAAAAAAAGTATGGGAGGCAAAGATCATCCAAAAAAAGAAGGGAAGACCTAGGAAAAGCTGGAATAAGGTAATATCAGACACACTGGAAAAGAGAGGAATTACATGGACAACCGCAAAAACACTAACCAAGAACAGAAAAGAATGGAGAAAATTCGTGTATAGCTAGTATAACTAGCAAACCCTCACCACCAAGTGGTAAAAGGGAATTGATTATATATATAAAATATTTATAAAAATATTTTAATGTAAAGTATACATTTTCTCAAAGTATACACATAAATAAACCTATATTTAATTTTTTTTTAATGATTTGTGATATAAGGGGTCACATAGTAACAAAATCAACATGGGCTACGATCGTAGACCGTGCGACCAACCGCGTTACAAAATACCGCGCGCATAATGAAGGGGTTAAGGAAACCATGGAAATGCTGCTTTCTGTTGAACTTCCAGCAAAAAGCGATATGGTACAGAATTCTGATGACGAGGAAACTAAAGATGATAATAAATTAATGTCTGACGAAGGCAACTCATTTTCTGAGTAACTCGTCATTAAGTTCCAAAAGTTTTTATTTGTTATAATTAATTTTGTTTGGATAAATATTGATTTTCTTTAAATATTTGACAATTTTCCTTTAAATTTTATAAAATATACTAAAAATCAGCAGGATATTAAAATTCGACCCAATTTAACCACTAAAAAATATTGACCGCCCAGATTGCTCAAATACCCCTCTGTGCGCCGACGCATTAGAACCTTGTATTTTTTCTTCAATTTTTATTTTGTTATTCACCGATTCTTCTAGGTATCCTTCTGCTACCATCGAGGACTTCCATCCTCCGTGACGCTTCAAAGTAGTCATGTTAGCCCCTGCATTGGCGAAAAGAGTCGCCGAAGACCTTCTCAGGCAGTGACCGGTGTAGAGCGCTGGTTCCTCCAATTTCAAAAACATTGCAATTCTTGAAGGTATCTTCGACAACTTATTTATTCCCACACACTGGCTGGAGTAGATAATAAAGGAGATTTCTGGCTCACTTAACCACGAAATTGACATTATAAGAGTTCTGGCTTACTTATATATGAGTACATTAGATGCAAAACTTTTGCAAATTTTTAAAAAAAATATATATATATATATATATATATATATATTATATATATATATATATATATATTATATATATATATATATATATATATTAGGGTGAGCCAAAAAACTAACCTATCGGATTTATGGGTTAAAATGAACCTACATACCGAGCAAAAAATTTCCCTGCAAGGCAAAATTTTTTGCTCAATTTTAAAAGGTGTCGGTGAGCATTCTAAGTTTTCCATTGAAATAACACGTAAAAAAATCTTTTTTCATTAAAAAGACTATAACTTTTGAACCGTTTGAGATAAATTTTTTTAAGTCGCGGATTCTTGTAGAGCATAAAATTTCCCAAAGAATATATACCAGGGTTATTTTTTTTAATTCAAAAATTCGTATGTTTGAAAGCTTTGAAAAGTGTAAAAAATCACTAAAACTGCAGTTTTGATTTTTTACACTTTTCAAAGCTTTCAAACATAGGAATTTTTGAATTAAAAAAAATAATCCTGGTATAGATTCTTTGGGAAATTTTATGCTCTACAAGAATCCGCGACGTAAAAATTTTTATCTCAAACGGTTCAAAAGTTATAGTCTTTTTAATAAAAAAATATTTTTTTACGTGTTATTTCAATGGAAAACTTAGAATGTTCACCGACACCTTTTAAAATTGAGCAAAAAATTTTGCCTTGCAGTGTAGCTCGGTATGTAGGTTCATTTTAACCCATAAATCCGATAGGTTAGTTTTTTTGGCTCACCCTAATATATATATATATATATATATATATATATATATATATATATATATATATATATATATATATATATATATATATATATATATATATATATATATATATATATATATACAGGGTGTTTCATAATATATGCGCAGGACTTCAGGATGTGATAGCTCATCCAAAAAGATGAAAAAAGTCTCAATTAACTTACGCTCTAAAATGCACAATTTTCGAGATACAGGGTGTTGAAATTTTAGAAAAAAATTCGTTTTTTTCGAATATCTCCGGAACCGTTTATCGTACAAAAAACAGCTTTTGTAAGCATTTTCTACTCAAAATAAGCTATGTTTTGTGCCAGAAAAAAAATTTTTTTCCTCATAATTGGTGGAGATTTTGAAGGGGTAGCGGGTGTTTTTCTCCTTAACTTCTACGCCCCTGAAAAAAGTACGGTTTTGAGAGGCCCATTCGAACCGCCAATGCTTTCTACACAAAAAGGTACTCTTGGTCATAAGCTCTAAACTTGGCCGTTTTCGATAAAAATCAACTTTTATGTTTAAAAACATGGTCAATTAAAAAAAAAAATAATTTTTTTTTACTAATTAAACAAAATTTATTTTAACATTAGAACAAGTAACAAAACCAAACCATAATTGCAAAATAAAAAATGATTCAAAAGTTGTCTTTGCTAAATTCTCCAAACCGTAAAGGTAACGCATTTCGCACATTTCAGCATTTGTGTAAAAAATGATTTTTTATTTTTTTTTTAATTTTGCAATTATCGTTTGGTTTTGTTACTTTTTGTAACGTTAAAATAAATTTTGTTTAATTAGTAATAAAAATTTTTTTTCAAAAAATTGACCATGTTTTTAAACATAAAAGTTGATTTTTCTCGAAAACGGTCAACTTTAGAGCTTATGACCAAGAGTACCTTTTTGTGTAG